ATACAAAATCACAACCCCAGTTTCAGCGTAAGAGATTTACTTTTCTCTCTCAAAGCAAGAAATATCCCACAATTCAAATTTACATAAGTAGTGCCTGCTCTTAAATAAATTAAAAATAAAATGCTGTTCTTTACATAAGATTAAATATTCCTAGTCTATTTCACAGAATATTAAAAATGTTTATAAATGCATTAGTTCCCAGTAAATAAACATTATGGCACTGAAGCCAGTTTACAAAAAAAAAAAAAGAAATGAAAGGAAAAAGTCATCACACTGGCCAATGCAAAGTCTAGGGATATTTTATGCCTCCACACTAGAAAAATCAAGCCAAATAAGGAGGAAAAAAATGAAAAACAAAGAAGTTTCAAAAAGTGGCAAATCCTCTGACCCAGAAGACAGTAGAAAGAGGTCCTCATTCAATTCAGTAACTAAGCCATTTCTGGAATGAACATTTGTGGATATGAGGTTAGGATAGTGCAACTCTGTGATCAGGACAAAATCAGTAAACAGGCATAAATAATTTCCACACTGGATAAGAAAAGACAGACTTCAAAGCACACTGACAAAAATCACATACCAAGAGTTAGCCTGAATATTCAAGATTGGCAGATTCCGATGGAGTGAAATCAGTAGACAAAAAAACTAAAAGTTATAATCCTATGGATGCCACGTATATTTACCCATATGAAGAAAGGAATCATGATTGCAAGGTACAGTATATACTTGCTAAAATGAGAAATTGTGAAAAATTTAAGTAACCAAAATGTTCCCTATTAAAGCATTAAAAACATGATTAGAAGAGTTTGGCTTCTGTGGCCTGTTCAATTGCTCTTTACATAAAATATTTCCTCCATCTTGAAAAAAAAATGGCTTCTAGATGGTGCTGACTCCTCTTCAGTGTGGGAAGAAATGAGCTTTAAGAAGTGGCTCAACAAACTTGTCTCCACGGCCCCACCAAGATGATTCATTCTATCACGTTTATAGTATCTCCAAATCTACATGCCGAACTTCTGGATTTCGTTTCTGGAAAGAAAAATGCACATATTATTCATAGCAAAACAAAATCTTTTGATCACTAGAGTCACTGAAAAGTTTGGTCAAACTACTTTACTGTTGCACAAGAGTAAGAAACATTTGCTTAAGAAAAAAGTCAATAAGTAAATAGACACACTATAATATAGACAGTACAGTTAGTAGTCCCACCTCTCTGAGTTTGCTCATGCGTTCATTAATACAAAAATGCTTTAAGGATCTAATACACACCAAGCATTGCAAAGTATTGGAAAAAAACTTCTTCATGATGAAAAGCAAATCACTGAAAAACAGTAATATTCAGAAATAATAAATTCCTAAACCTTATTTGATATATTTTAATAATTTTTATAGTATTGGGACAGGCACTATGCTAGAAAGTTATGATTGTTAAATAAGACTGTTCTCAACCCTAAGGGACTCAGTTAGACATAGAGATAAGTAGAACAATATTCACTTATGATTTTAAGTAGTATAGCTAATAATAGTAACAGTTAACATTTATTGGGTACATGTGTGTAGATTAAGTACTACACTAAAGAGCTTTATGTACATGTGTATGCATTTTAAACTCTTGCTCATACACAAGAAAGATGTCACTGAGGATGCGATATGTAAGCCAGGTCTGAACATAGTGAGTCTTCCAGATAAGGGAAGAAGAGTGCCTAGACAAAAAAAGCAGCATGAGCAAAGGCAGAAAGTCTAGAAAGCAGGCACTAGCACTATGAAACAGTTAAGCACAGAAGTAGCAATAAATGCAGGGTGAGAAATAAGGCTAGAAAAACAGACAGCAATCAGCTAAAAATCTCACATGCTAGTTTAAGGAACTTCGTGAACAACAAGCAGTATTTGCCCTCAACAGACTTATGCTTAATGAGAAGACACAGGTTAATAAATAAGCAATTACAATACTGCCACTACAGAGCAAATAAAGATTTAGGGTTTCTTTTCTCTATGGGCATACAAAGGAAGGATACGGAACTCAATTTGAGGGCAATTAAAAATTCAACTTAACATGGGAGAGGGGAAATACAGGAGAATGATGGAGGGGGTGAATTCAACTATGATATTATAGGAACTTCTGTAAATGTCCTAATGTATCCCCAGTACAACAGTAATTAAAAAAACAAAAAATAAATAAATCTTATATATAATTACATTGTTATATATATAACATAACATTATGAGGATAGAGGATTAAAAGGACTGTGGAAAAGACCAAATCTACACCTAGTTTTCAATCAGGAGAAACAGTGTAAGATTACAGAAATATGGCATGTAAATAAAAAAGAAATACTGCAAGTATTAAAAATGGTTATCTCTGGGACACAGACTTAAGGAATGAGCAGAATGAAGCAAGTGATACTTATTTTTGTTACAAGCTTTTCAGTTGGTTGTACAAACTTTGAACATTTCCTATGATGACATAAAAGTAATGGTAGGTAATATGTTGGCACTTTTGCACAATTTAAGGTAAATGGAACAAAACAAAGTAGTAAAATGCATCTCAATCT